AACATTTCAAGACCTATCCTGAAGTACAACGCTATCATTGACAAGATAATATCCATACGCCTGTAAGGAAGACCAGTTAATATGACTATCATTCAAATTTATGCACCAACCTGTAAGGCCAAAGATGAAGAAATTGAAGATTTTTATGAACTTCTGCAGTCTGAAATTGAATCAAACATGCAATCAGGATGCCCTGATAATTACTGGTGATTGGAATGAAAAAGTTGGAAACAAAGAAGAAGGATCGGTAGTTGGAAAATATGGCCTTGGTGATAGAAACGATGCCGGAGAGTGTATGATAGAATATTGCAAGACCAATGACTTCTTCATTGCAAATACCTTTTTTCACCAACGGCGACTATACACGTGGACCTTGCCAGATGGAATACACAGGAATCAAATCTGCTACAGCCGTGGAAAGAGATGATGGAAAAGCTCAATATTATCAGTCAGAACAAGGCCAGGGGCTGACTACGGAGCCGACTATCAATTGCTCATTTGCAAGTTCAAGCTGAAACTGAAGAAAATTAGAACAAGTCCACAAGAGCCAAAGTACAGCCTTGAATATATCCCACCTAAATTTAGAGACCATATCAAGAATAGATTTGACATGTTGAACATCAATGACAGAAGACCAGATGAGTTATGGAATGACATCAAGGACATTATACATGAAAAAAGCAAGAGGTCATTAAAAAGACAGGAAAGAAAGAATAGACCAAAATGGATGTCAGAAAAGACTCTGAAAGTTGCTCTTGAACATCGAGTAGCTAAAGCAAAAGGAAGAAATGATGAAATAAAAGCTGAACAGAAGATTTCAAAGGGTGGCTCGAGAAGACAAAGTAAAGTATTATAATGACATGTGCAAAGACCTGGAGGTAGAAAACCAAAAGGCAAGAACATGCTCAGCATTTCTCAAGGTGATAAAGAACTGAAGAAAAAACTCAAGCCTCAGGTTGCAGTATTGAAGAATTCTACAGGGAAAATATTAACAGAGGAAGCATCAAAAGAAAATGGAAGGAATACACAGAGTCACTATACCAAAAAGAACTGCTAGATGTTTAATCATTTCAGGAGGTAGCGTATGATCAGGAACAGATGGTACTGAAGGAAAAAGTCCAAGCTGCACTGAAGGCATTGGCAAAAAACAAAACTCTGGGAATTGACAGAATACGAATTGAGATGTTTCAACAAACGGATGCAGCGCTGGAAGTGCTCACTTGCCTATGCCTAGAAATTTGGAAGACAGCCACCTGGCCAATTGACTGGAAGAGATCCATATTTATGCCTATTCCCAAGAAAGGTGATCCAACCTAATGTGGAAACTGTTGACCAAAAATATCATTAATATCACACCCAAGTAAAATTTTGCTGAAGATCATTCAAAAGCAGCTGCAGCAGTAGATCGACAGGGAACTGGCAGAAATTCAAGCTGTATTCAGAAGAGGATGTGGGACAAGGGATATCATTGCTGATGCCAGATGGATCCTGGCTGAAAGCAGAGAATACCAGAAAGATATTTACCTGTGTTTTATTGACTATGCAAAAGCATTCGACTGTGTGGATCATAACAAATTATGGATAACACTGCAAAGAATGGGAATTCTAGAACACTTAATTGTGCTCATGAGAAACCTGTACATGGATCAAGAGGCAGCCGTTTGAACAGAACAAGGGGATGCTGCATGGTTTAAAATCAGGAAAAGTCTGCATCAGGGTTGTATCCTTTCACCATACCTATTCAATCTGTATGCGGAGCAAATAATCCGAGAAGCTGGACTGTCTGAAGAAGAAAGGGGCATCAGGATTGGAGGAAGACTCATTAACAACCTCCGGATATGCAGATGACACAACCTTGCTTGCTGAAAGTGAAGAGAACTTGAAGCACTTACTGATGAAGATCAAAGATCACAGCCTTCAATATAGATTACACTTTAACATAAAGAAAACAAAAATCCTCACAAATGGACCAATAAGTAACATCATGATAAATGGAGAAAATACTAAAGTTGTCCAGGATTTCATTTTACTTGGATCCACTATCAACAACCATGGAAACAGCAGTCAAGATATCAAACGATGTACTGCATCAGGCAAATCGGCTGCAAAAGAGCTCTTTAAAGCATTAAAAAGCAAAGAGGTCACCTTGAAGACCAAGATGCGCCTGACCCGAGCCATGGTGTTTTCAATCACCTCATATGCATGCGAAAGCTGGACGATGAATAAGGAAGACCGAAGAAGAATGGATGCCTTTGGATTGCGGTGTTGGCGAAGAATATTGAATGTACCATGGACTGCCAAAAGAACAAACAAATCTGTCTTGGAAGAAGTACAACCAGAATGCTCCTTAGAAGCAAGGATGGTGAGACTATGTCTCACACACTTTGGACATGTTGTCAGGAGGGATCAGTCCTTGGAGAAGGACATCATGCTTGGTAAAGTAGGGGGTAAGTGAAAGAGAGAAAGACCCTCAACGAGATGGATTGACAGAGTGGCCACAATAATAGGCTCAAGCATAACAACAATTGTGAGGATGGTGCGGGACCGGGCAGTGTTTTGTTCTGTTGTACACGGGGTCACTGTGAGTCGGAACCGACTCGACGGCACCTAACAACAACTACAAAGTTAGCTCAAATAGAACATCTCTGTATGTGCAAGATTATCAAAACCGGTAAACAAACCAGGGGAAATATGTAAGCGTATACTGGAGCCGAAGGGCTAAAATCTTAAAATAGATGAAATTTTTACAAGGCAATAATAAAAAGATTTCTACACTAATTTTTTAAATGGGCAAAAGAAATCAACGGCAAATTAACAAAAGAAAAAATGGCAGTAAAGACATGAAATACGTTCAACTTCACCAGCACTCAAAGAAATGCAAACTGAAGCAGCGCCGGGCATGTCTGCCCTCTGCTCACAGAGAAGCAGGCATCCTTACTTGCAGACATCCTATGACTGGTGCAGTGTGGATCAGTCGCCCGAAAAATCTGTCCCAGAACCCACTTCTAGCACATTCCCCCAAGGAAACCATAAGCAGTCTCCCAGTGAGGGAAGTGTCGCTGGAGGCCTGGCAGGGCTGGCCTGACTTCAGTCACGCAGCTTGGAGAATCTGTTGAAGGATTAGACCACCTCTCAGGAAAATGAACACACACTCACAGATGTGTACATATACACATGCACGTGTGCTATACTTTCTGCGTACGACAGTGGTTAAGAGCTACAGCGAGCTCAGGCTGCTGACCAAAAGGTGGGCAGTTCAAATCTACCAGCCACTCCTTGGAAACCCTATGGAACAGCTCTACTCTGCCCTATAGGGTCACTATGAGTCAGAATCGACTCGATAGCAGTGGGTTTGGTTTGTTGGTACCTCTCTCTGGAAGAGACTGTATTGACCTTAGGGGGCCTGAAAACTTCATGTTAAAAAGAAAATTTCATGATGTACAAAAATGTTCACAATTTATCTTTATATGGAAAACGTAGTTAAAAACTGAAAAAAAAATTATACAAGGAAGACTGAAAGGGACTTTAAAATATTAAACACGGTCACTTTATTGACGCCATTTTCAAACTTGCTACAATAATTATGTGTTACATTTGAAATGAGAAAAAAAGAATGAAAACTATTTTAAATATGCAGGCATGCAATTTCTGGCCCCTGAAATCCGTGTAATTTAAAAGCAATGGAAGATTTCACCGAGGACATGACAGTATGACCCTGACCCATGTCCATGTCCTCCCCTCCTGACATCCAGCCTGTAAGCCCAACGACTGGCCCCTGATGCCCACAGCCTGTGAAGTCCCCTCCCTGGGACTAACTTGCTCCTAGCTGATAGAAGACCTTGACATTGAGCGGAAGCAGATCACAAGCGCTCTCCCTTCCATCTGTCAGCAGGCTGTCTCCTTGTTGGTTTTGAGAAAGCAAGCTGTCGCCTGGAGAGGCCTACATGCACGAAAGGGGGCCCTCAGCCCACAATCCACAGGTGCGGAATCCTCCCCCATCAAGCCTCCCGAAGACCCCAGGCGGAACCTCTGCTGCGGCTGCGCCGGACTCTGGGCCCCACCCCCAGTGAGGGCGTAAAGGTGTGCTGTTGGAAGCTGCTGTGCTTGCGGCGGTTTGTTCCGCAAAGTAGGTGAATAACACACCCCAAGTCGACTCTCCAATGACCAAGTAAAAAAAATCCCACATGGTTAGTATAGGCAGAGTCAAAATGTTTCACACACTAGGAATGCACAGAAGTCGAGAAAATCACTGAGACCTCAAAAGATAGATCCTCAGGAGAGATCATTCAAATGCCCCCAAACACGGCTGAACCCGAAACCTCCCTAGTAATCAGAAGCACGCAAATGAAAACAAAGATACTCTCAGCCCACGCGTTAACAAAGGGTTGATTTTCTATTCTTTAAATAAACACTCACTGCTAATGGGGATGTGCCCTAACAGCTGCTGGGGGTGTAGGAGCAAACCCCTGCCCCTCTGTGGGAACAGACTGGGAAGACATTCCAGAACATTCCAGATCCTCCCTCAGCTTCTGGCTCAGTCATCGGCTCCCGGAATCCAGTCCAGGGACTTACTTAAACTCTAACAGCTCCTTGCCCAGAACTGCCCAGCACAAATGATTTATGAAAGCAAAGACTCAAGACAAATTGGCCAGCGACATGTTTAAGAAACAGTACTGTTCTTCCACCTAACGGACTGTTATCAGCTATTGAGAAATGCGTAAGAAGATGTTGTAATTACTGAAAACTGCTTATGCTAACTGCTAAATTTGACTCTAAAGAGTAGGACACCAAGTTACATACCCCAAGTGCAATATCTATACTACCAAACCTGTAACACAAGACTTGAAAGAAATAAAGCAAAACATCTGCAGTTGCTGACTTTTGGTGCGGAGGTCATGGTTGCTGTTTTATAGTTCATTAAATTTTCCTATACTTAACCAAATTTTGTGCGGTGATTATGTACATGTGAAACTGGCAAAACATATTAATACAGTACTTACTTTTCTTCTCTGATAGAAAGTAAGCGCTGGTGATTATAAGAACCTAAACGCTTATAGAGAGCCTTCAGAATTGTATTGGGATCTTCTGGTAATTCATTGTTTTCCAATTTTCTGAAATTAATACAAACATTAAATAACTAAAAATCTTGACAGATTTATTAAAGTTATTCTAAAGAAACTCTACATGCCTGTGTTTCCCATTGGACAGAACCCCTAAAATAAATTCCTCACTTTTCTCTCCCTAAACTTGATCCTAGATGATTTTTGCACCACTTCCTCCTCCTCATAACCCGGATGATGAAGTACTTTCTTCACACTTCACTAAAAAATGGAAAATAAGCACAACCCCGCCACCTACAGTGGTACACACTCAGGGCCCACCTTGTAGTGATGCTCGGCCACTTCTTTCTCCTCAGCTGCAGGGCCAGGAGACAGCATTCCCACACGTCCATGGGGTACTCCCCTCCAACCAGAAACACATCGTGCTCTCCTGTCCCTCACACTCACACTGTGCTCTCCTCTCTCCCTCACACTCACACTGTGCTCTCCTC